GTCCGCGGGGGCGACGAGCCGGTCCAGGGCTTGGAGAGCGGGCTTCATGAGGGAAGTGTCATAGGGAAGCCCCTTTCCAAGGCACACCGGCATGCTCCCCTTCGACGTCCGGGTGGCGGCGCGCCACAAATGCCTTGATGAAGGCCCCTAAGCGCCCGTGGAGTCCGCAGAGGTCGGCATCTGCCAGATTGCTGGCCCTCCCGCAGCTATCTCGCAAAGGAAGGCGCGCATGATTGCAGGGAAGGCAGATGCCCAGGGTGGCCTCGAGGACGTCGCCGACGTGGCCCGGGCTTCCGCGTGGCGCGAGGTTGGGCCCAGGCCCCCTGATAAGGAGGAGCATCAACACCAAGGTAGCGTTTGCCCTTGCGCGCTGGATGGACGCCCCGCCGCTATCCTCAAGCAGGCTGCAGGGGCCTTCGAGGAGCCGATCCTGCCGCATAGTGATTGCCGCGAGGTGCTGTAGCGAAGGTGCACCTTACAGTGGCGCGTGCACGCGCACCTGCTCGCGCCCCAGGCGGCCGGGGGCGTCTGGCCGCGCCCGCGGGGGATTGGTCAGCGCGCCAGCTCCAGCGAGGTTCGCATCGCCTTCCAGATGGCGGGAGGGGGGGCGGTCCTCTTTCATGGCTCTGTCGGAGGCTGCACTAGGCTAAAGTCCTGCCGCGCGCGGTAGGCCTGCCCAGGCAGCAGCGCACGCAAAGTTGACGGCGTCGATGCCCAGTTCGTTGTCGCATAAGCAACCGTCGTGACTGACCAGGTTCCCGCACCGCTCGTGAGCGGTCTGTCGGTGAGTCCCCTGGGCCGCACACGCGGGGGCGCAGGCTGCGCGCGTAGCATAGAACCAGGGCCAGGGCTGAGTCACTCAGGACCACGGCGCCCGTGCCCAGCAGTTCCTCGCACAACCTCTCCCAGGTGTGCCCTGGCGGGAGTGGGGAGCCGCAAAGTGTCTGGAAGCAGAGAGCCCGCTGCTCGGCGAGTCGCTGGCACGTCCTGTTATCTCTGTGCCTCTCTTGCTCGGCTGAGAGCCGTGCTTGCTCGTCGTGGGAGGGTTCCGGGTGTGCGCGCCGATGGGGGCCTCCCGTACCTTGGCTGGTTAAAATTGGCTGTCTCGTTGAGCGCGCCGCGGCTGCCCGGGGCGCCGTCAAAGCTAATCCAAAAGCCACCGACTTCTGCCCATTCCGCGAGGGCGCGCAGTTGGGATTCGGTCGCTGCGGCCGCCATCCTGGCATTCAGCAAATCAATGACTCCCTCCTGCGCCACGGTGAACGCAACGTTGATCCGATGGGGGTCGCCAAAAAAGCCCCACTGCCCAGTGGAGTTCGCACGGGCAGTGCAAAGAATCAGCCGGTTGGCCTCATCCCCTTGGCTTCCGTCGATAGTGGACACACCGACAAGGCCCCTGTCGACCAGGCGAAGGCACCTCGCTTCGATGCCACGGAAGGTGAGTTGGAGGCCGTTGAATGTGGTGACGGGAAGACGCTTGAAGATGGCGCCGGAGGGGGGGGGGGGGGGGGCTTTCCCTTTCGTGCACATTTGACAAGCCGCCCCTGAAGTGTGGAGGTCCTGGAGTGCGCTGGTGTGGTCACACCGGAAGCCTTGCCCGTACCCTTGCCTTTCTCCTGGTAGGAACTGAAGACGGCGGCCTGGTCGATCGGCCATCCGGCTTTGATAAGGTCCATCGGGCACGGTACCCACAGACGATCAAGACGCGCTTGCCTGCTGCCAGGCGATGCTCCTCCACGGACTTGACGATGTCACAGACTGGGGCAGCCTCTCTGAGGTTGGTGCCTTCGACCAGGGCGCGTGGCAGCTCCGCAGCTTTCTCGTGGACCAACAGGGCCCGAATGGAGTCCCCTGCCTGAGCCCCATAGTGGGTGTTGCGAAAGCCATGCGTCCCGATGCCGACAGAGTCGTCAGGGATGCTGTCCTGGGGGCGCGCGTTGGGGGATGGCTGCTGGTCTCCATGAGATACCGAGGGCGGGCGGCCTCTGCGCGAAGGCGTCGGTAAGGCCCGAAAACAGCGCGCCTCGATAGAAGGTGCCAGACGGCCATTTGAGTACGCTGTTGTGCATACGGTAGCAGACACCGAGCAACACATTGTGTTGGCTCGAGGTCCCGAGGGAGCCGTGGAAGCGTTCGAACGTAGAAATGCCAAGGCCCACTTCATCGGCGCGGGCACACACACACACTTTGATCTGCGGGGCGAGAGCGAACCTCCTCCGCTAAAAGCTAGGCGGGCTACGCACAGCTTTAATCAGGGAGGCAGGGCTCAGGAAGGCGGGGCCTCAGGCGGCCAGGAGCGGGCGGGGCCCGGGGAGCAGGCGGTGCCGAAGTGGAAGTGCAGGAAAAGGCACGCCGCGGAAAGGGACCGAGGGCGAAGACCCGGAAGGCGAGGGAAATAGTGTCGCCGTCAACGGCGCTCCGCGAACACCAGCCTCAAGCACTGCAGGGGAGGACGCGCCACGTGACCAGGTCGACGCCCAGGAGGGAGAAGAGCACCACGAAGGCGATGAGCCACGTTGTGCCACCGGATGATGCGGAGGAGGCCCAGGAAGAAAAGGAGCACCACGAAGGCGATGTGCAACGCTGTGCCACCGGGTGATGCGGATGAGGCCCGGGGTGATAGTCCAGTCCACGACCAGGTAGCAGCGTAGCTTGAGGTGCGGCCACGGCGGGCACACACTAACAGACAAAAGACGGAGGTCTCGATCGTCGCCATGCCCCTCCCGCCGTCCTGGCGACGTCGCCCGTTGGCGGGTCCGGGTGAGGCCTCCGTGCCCTCGCTGCCCCCTCCTACACGCCCTGGCGCCAACGCCGCTGGGGCAGGGCGGAAGACGACGCTTACCAATCGATTATGCAAGGAGGATGGGGGAGGAGGAGGAGGAGGAGGAGGAGGAGGAGGAGGAGGAGGAGGAGGAGGAGGAGGGGCACAGGGCGGAAAAAAGAGGAAAGGGGAGGCAAATGGGCGGAAATTGCGGAGAGACCGAGCGACGGATGGAGGTATCCTTCTTCACGCTGGCCAGCCTCTGAGCATCGGAGCTCGCAGCGTTCAGACGTTATGAAAAAGCGGCAGACTGCAGAGAACTCAACCGACTTAGGCGCGGCGGCCTCCAGTCGACCTAGTTGGGTGCAACAAGGAAAAAGATAGGCAAATTGAGAAGGATAAGCAGTGCAAAGGCCCTCCAAGGCATGCAGTATGCGCCCACCTAGTCAGTGCGGGGGTGATGGAGGTGATGAGGTATCATCCTCCTATCATCCTCCTTATCCTCTTCCTCCTCGTTCTCCTCCTCCTCCTCCTACTCCTCCTCCTCCTCATCATCATCGTCAGCATCAGCAGAATCGTCGTAATCACCATCATCATCAGCAGCATCATCAGCAGCAGCTCAGAAGCATCATCATCATCAGCAGCAGCATCATCATCAGCAACATCATCAGCAGCATCAACATCATCATCATCATCATCATCACCACCACCACCACCACCACCACCACCACCACCATCATCATCATCATCATCATCATCATCATCATCATCATCATCATCTGCATCATCGGAAACATCATCAGCAGCAGCAGCATCATCAGTATCATCGACATCCATAATGTTGTCCTGCGCATCCTCTAGCTACCACTCCCTCCTCTCCTGTCTCCTCTAGACACCACCCCTTTCCTCTGGATCCTCTCCTCTCAACATCACTCCTTCCTCTTACCGCCCCGGGCGAGGAGCCTCCAACTCGGCCAGTTCAAGCGCCACCTGGAAAGAAGAGGAAGCGGAGGAGGCTTGTCCGGCGGCGGATATATAAAGGCCTCCTGCTCCTCCTCCTCCTCCTCCTCCGCCTCCTCCTCCTCCTCTTCCTCCTCCTCCTCTTCCTCCTCCACCTCCTCTTCCTCCTCCTCCTCCTCCCCCGCCTCCTCCGCCTCCTCCTCCTCCTCCTCCTCCCTCCTCTCCTCCTCCTCCTCTCGCATCCTCCTCCTCCTCCTCCTTTTCCTCCTCTTCCTCCTCCTCCTCCTCCTCCCGTCCTCCTCCTCCTCCTCCTCCTCCTCCTCCTCCTCCTTTTCCTCCTCCTCCTCCTCCTCCTCCTCCTCCTCCTCCTCCTCCTCCTCCTGCTCCTCTTCCACCTCCTTCTCTTCCTCCTCTCGCTCTCCTTTTGCTTATAGAAAACTCCTCCTTGCCGGGCGGGACGGGCGTTTCGCCTGAGACTTCCTTATCACTTATGATCCTGAAGCTTAGAACTGAAAACTGTTTTCAAAGAGGGCGGGCGGACCGCTTCCAAAGGTGGTTTTCGCCTTAGCGCCGCGCACACTCGTTTGAAAAATGCGCAAGAGCTTCACGGATTGAGGCGGGTGGTTTTCAACATGTGGCTCTTGCATTGGCACAGCGCACACTTGTCTAAAAGAACGCAAGAGCTTCACGGATAGAGGGCGGTTCCTTTGCTAAATGTGGCTCTCGTTTTAGCGTCGCAAACATTTGCAAGAGTGTCACGGGTTCCCATGCTTGGCGTACCAGAAATGGCGTTCTGGAACGATTCAGGATTACCAGGGCGCAACTGTTGAGTTGATTCGCGGTGTAGAATTTCCAGGAGTGGTGCTCTGACACAATTCAAGATCATCAAGACGCAGCACTCAGGTTGATTCGTGACGTTGGAGTCCCGATTATGGTGTTTGGGAACGCTCCAGGATCTTCAAACGGTTGTCCCTCAGCGGAGCACCAGTGGAAATATAATCTTGTGGGGCCCATGAAGAGGGAGCTTGGAGGGAGGGCTTATTCTGACATCGATGATGCGTCTTGGGATTGCACTGGTGGTCCTCCTCCTCCTCCTCCCTTCTCCTCCTCCTCCTCCTGCTCCTCCTCCTCCTCCTCTTCCTCCTCCTCCTCCTCCTCCTCCTCCTCCTCATCATCATCATCATCATCATCATCATCATCACCATCATCACCATCATCATCATCAACATCATCAACATCATCCCTTTGTCTCCTCCATCCTCCTCCTCCCGTCCGCGAGGCCGTCTCCTGCTGGCCCCCCTCGACGGGCGGCGGCGCCCTGTCCGCCGCGTCCTTGGACTTCCTCGCGGAGGGGCGGACGCCGGCCGCGCGCCAGCGCGGGCGCCAGCCGCACGCAGAGAACAGCCGAACAACACCTCGTCGTCCTCCTCCTCCTCCTCCTCCTCCTCCTCCTCCTCCTCCTCCTCCTCCTCCTCCTCCTCCTCCTCCTCCTCCTCCTCCTCCTCCTCCCTCCTCCTCCTCCTCCTCCTCCTCCTCCTCCTCCTCCCCCTCCTCCTCCTCCTCCTCCTCCTCCTCATCCCTCCTCCTCCTCCTCCTCCCCCTCCTCCTCCTCCTCCTCCTCCTCCTCCTCCTCCTCCTCCTCCACCTCCTCCTCCTCCTCCTCCTCCTCCTCCTCCTCCTCCTCCTCCTCCTCCTCCGCTGGACCGTCAAAAGACGGCCGACGCGCGTCCAAGACGGCTCAAAGAGGCCCAAAAAATCGTTCCAAGACGACCCGAGGAGCCCCCAAAGAGGGCCCCAAGACAGCCGAAGGGGGTCCCAAGGCGGCCCAAGAGGCGCCCAAGGTAGCCCAAGAGAACCCCAACAGAGCTCAAGAGAGGTAACTAGAAGTGACATTCCGAGCCCTCCGCCGCAAGAGGAACCCCAAGACTGCCAGCAGGCGCCCAAGAAACACCCAAGAGGCCCGAAGAGGCCCGAAGAGGCTCCCAAAAGTTCCTCGTGAAGCCCTGAAAGGGCTCACCCGTGGACTTCATCCCTCTCCCAGGGGTCGCTGGAATGGCGTAAGCCTCATCAACAACACCCGCCGGGCCTCGGGACCGTGAAAAGACGGCTCAAAATGATTTGTGTTCACGCCAGCTCGAATTGGCGGAACTCGCTGCCTTCAAGACCCGCCTACGCGCCAGTCAGAGTGGGCGCGCCCCGCTCCGACCGAGCCCGGGACGCAACCTAGGCGTGCAAACATGGACGGCTATTCCAACCTGGGATGGAAAGCCTGTCCCGGGAGTCATTGTTTTAGGATTTGTGGTTGGTTGCGCCTTTCCAGAGTGTTACTCCGAAGGGTGCGATGCAGTGCACGACGCGTGCTTTCCATCAGAAAGTTCGACAGCCCACCTGAGGCCCTAATTTTGGGATTTGGTAGTGACAGATTTTCCAGTATGAAAAAACCGGGGCGTCGGACAAGGGCGGCCCCGGGCCAGGGCGACCTTCCCGGTGCGCGGCTTCTGCCGACCGCTGCGCGCGCTGTGACGGTGGCGGGCCCTCGTGCGTGGGCTCGCCCCTGCCCGGCCCCCCGCGCCCCTCGCAAGCCGCGCACGCGCAGGCCACTCGGGAGACGAGCCGCTCTTCCTGCGCACCGCTGGACCGGGAGGGTCCGCGCACCATCCCGAAAGGGGTGGATCGTGGCCAGACCGAGGAGGAGGCGGCGGTCTAGGCTTGGTCGGGGCTTCTCCTCAGAGGGGTGGGAGCTATAGCCAACCCTCGGGGACTCCCTCCTCCTTGGCCTGGCTCGTTGGAAGCCAACTTTGGGGGAGGTCCTCGCACGAGCGATCAGCAGCCAATAGGCCCCAGTCAAGGGCCACCAAACCGGATTAAGCCGCACTGATCCAGGGATGAAACCGAACGGACCGGGACGAAGCCAAAGCGCAGGGGATCAGTCCAGCTTAGGCCGGTTCTCGACCACGGATCTACCATCGCCGATGTTGAGTTTAGCCTCCCCGGATGTGCAATCTAAGGTCATGGGATCCCTGTCACCTGAGAGAATTGATACACGATCCCTCCAGGCGTGGGCGATGAAGGCACACGCTTCTGCTCCATACTGCTGCTCCCCATTCCTCCTCCTCCCCCTCGCCCCCCTCTCCCCCATCTCCTCCTCCTCCTCCTCCTCCTCCTCCTCCTCCTCCTCCCGCCCCTCCTCCCCTCCTCCTCCTCCTCCTCCTCCTCCTCCTCCTCCTCCTCCTCCCCCTCCTCCTCCTCCTCCTCCTCCTCCTCCTCCTCCTCCTCCTCCTCCTCCTCCTCCTCCTCCTCCTCCTCCTCCTCCATCCCTTCCCCTTGTGGATACGCCCCCCTGTCGCACCCGTAGACGCGTCGGTGGGGCGGATTGGGCGTTTCGCTTGAAACTTCCTCGCCACTTACGACCCTGAAGCTCGAAATTGGCAACAGCTACACGGATGGACGGGGGGTCAAAATCAGTCTCTCGCTCCAGCGCCGCGCGCATTCGTCTTCACAGCTTGCAGCATGTTGTTACACTAACAGAATTAGGTGGTTTGCAAAATGAAGCTCTCACCCCAGCGCCATCGTCCCCAAAGTTTGCAGCAGCCACCAGGATGAAGGACGGCTCCATCTCAAGACGAGGCTCTCGCTTGGACGACTTCCTCCTGTCTGACGGATCCGAAGTGTGAACACACGGTCAGGAACTCTCGCTGAGCGTGTCGCGGCGGCGGTCGAGCGTTTTTTTTCTGGTCGGCGGGTCGGGAGCGGGCCCCTTCCGGTCAAGAGCTAGGCGGGGCGCGCGAAGCACTACTTGGGGAGACAGGGCGCGGGCGGGCGGGGCCTCAGGCGGCCGGAGGGCGCGGAGCACAGGCGGTGCCGAAGAGCTTGCACAGGAGAAGGTACGCCTTGGACAGGAGCCGGAGGCGAAGTCCCGGAGGGAGAGCGAACCGAAGTGTGAGCACACGGTCAGGAACTCTCGCTGAGCGCGTCGCGGCGGCGGTCGGGCGACGCGCTGCGCCCTGCCAAGAGGACGGCGCGTCGCTCCGCTCCGCGGGGCGAGAGGGCAGGGAGGAGCTCGGGGCGAGGCAGTTCGGGAGCTGGGGCGCAGTTGGCGTGACGCGCCCCGATGCGCGGTGGGTCAGAGCCTGCAGCGCGACTTTTTTGGCCTGCGGGTCGAGAGCGAACCTCTTCCGGCCAAAAGCTAGGCGGGCTACGCAGAGCTCTCATTGGGGAGGCAGAGCACAGGCGGACGGGGCCTCAGACGGCGGGACCTGACACGCGGCACGCGAAGCCAAAGTCGTCGACCGTATGCAACAACGGCGCGGGCAGAGGGCGGCGATTCATCAAAATGGAGTTATCCCTCCAGGCATCGTGGAAGTTAATGACCAAAACTGTCGACGTGTGCAACAGTCAAGCCGATGATGAGCGGCCCTGTTACAAAACCCGGGCATCGCTGGACACCTCGATGAACCGTGTGGCCATACCTTCCCGCTTCCGTACTGCCCGCTAGAACGATGCCAGGCGAGTTGGTTCAGCAAAACAGGGAGGCGGATACGTGGGGCGGGAAGATAAGTGCCGTATCGTTGATGCACCTTGGATTTACACTGAGTCCTCCTCCTCCTCCCCATCCTCCTCCCGCTCCCTCCTCCACCCCCTCCTCTCCTCGTCCTCCTCTCACTTCTCCTCCTTTCCCTCCTCCCCTGCTGAATCCCCCCCTCCTCCTCCTCCTGCTGCTACTCCTCCTTGTGTTCGCCTCCCCATCATCATCCAGCAACCATCATCCAGCATTCACCATCCACTCTCACCACCACCACCACCACCAACGTCATCATCATCAGCATCAGCATCATCAGCATCAGCATCAGCATCAGCATCAGCATCAGCATCAGCATCAGCATCAGCATCATCATCATCATCATCATCATCATCATCATCATCATAATGGGCAGCAGCAGCATCATCATCAGCGTCAGCATCATCAGCAGCATCATCACCACCATCATCGTCAGCATCATCATCAGCAGCAGCAACAGCATCAGCATCATCATCATCACCACCACCGCCATCATCATCATCATCAGCATCATCATCATCATCATCATCATCATCATCATCATCATCGTTATCAGAGTCAGCATCATCGTCAGCATCATCATCACCAGCATCATCATCATAATCAGCATCATCAGCGGCAGCATCATCATCATCATCATCGTCACCATCCGTATCCTCACCATCACCATCACCATCATCATCATCATCAGTATTAGCATCATCAGCATCATCAGCATCATCATCATCAAAATTATCATCCTCATCATCATCATCCTCATCATCATCATCGTAATAATAATCATCATCATCATCATCAGCATCAGCATCATCATCATCATCATCATCATCATCATCATCATCATCATCATCATCATCTACATCAGCATCAGCATCATCATCAACAGCAGCGGCAGCAACATATGCCTTATCATCTCCATAATCGTCGTCATCACCATAAAGGTGGCCATCAACATCATCATTATCATCAGCATCATCAGTATCATCAGCATCATCAGCATCAGCAGCATCATCATCATCAGCATCATCATCATCATCGTATCCATCATCATCATCATCATCATCATCATCATCATCATCATCATCATCATCATCATCACCATCACCATCGTCATCATCATATGCTTCATCATCTCCATAATCGTCATCATCACTACCAGCATTGCCATCCTCATTATCAGCATCAGCATCATCAACAGCACCACCACCACCACTATCAGCATCATCATCATCAATATGCAAATGATCATCGTAATCTTTATCGCCATCATCTTCATACTCGTCGTCGTCATGAGCATGTTTAGCCATCAGCATCATCGACTTCGATATTAGCAGCATCGTCAGCATAAACATCATCGTCAGCATCAGAATCATCATCATCATCAGTATCGTCACCATCGTGATCATAATCATCACCAGCAAAAGCAGAATCCTAATCACCGTCATCACCATCGTCATAATCACCATCATGATCCGTACCATCATCATCATCATCACCATCGTCATCATAATCATCATCACCACCACAACCGCCATCGTCATCATCATCATCATCATCATCATCATCATCATCATCATCACAGCCATCATCCTGATCATCATCATCATCATCATCATCATCATCATCATCATCATCATCATCATCATCATCATATTCATCTTCATGAAGCAGCATCGTCGTCGTCATCAACACCAGCAGCAGCATCGTCGTCATCAGTCTCATCATCAGCATCATCACCACCACCACCTCCACCATCGCCCTCACCATCACCATCAGCATCAGAATCAGCATCAGCATCAGCATCAGCATTAGCATCAGCAGTCACAACCCTCCCAGACGAGAAGCTTTAGACCCCCCAGACTATCCATCAAAGGGCGGCCCTTTGCCCAGACCCCCCCGAACCCTCCAAGACAGCTCAAATTAGACCCCCCCCCGAATGTGACCCCATCCCTTTTGTTACGAAATCTGGAGTAGCCCCTGGGAGGCACAGGAACTTACGCAGCCACGCGTGAAAGCACCGACCCTCGGGCCACCCGCCTCGAAGGAGGAGGCTCCCCCTGAGGTCTCGGCCACTTCCCCCCCCCGGGGGCAAGACGTCGCCCCGGATCCGAGGCCGAGGTCCCCGAGCCCCGAAGACGGCCCCCCAGAAGCTGCAACACGAAAAGGCTCAAAAATGGAGAGGTGGCCCGGGGAGCGAGAGGAGAAGACGGAGGAGGAGGAGGAGGAGAAGGAGGAGGAGGAGGAGAACGGGGAGGGGAGGGGGGCGGACGTGGAGGGGGGGGGTCGATCGATTGAGTGCCCCCCAGCGTCGTTCTCGAAGGCAGCCGAACCAGGAGGCGACTTGTCAACCACGAGTGGAATAAAAACGGGGCAAGATGGTAGCAAATGTGGGCACACAACGAGGTCCTGACGACGACGACGACGACGACGACGACGACGACGACGAGGGGGAGAGGACGACGACGCCGAGGAGGGGGGAAGAGGAGGGGACGGAGGAGGAGGGGGAGGAGTGGAAGGAGGAGAAGGAGGAGGAAGAGCAGGAGCGAGACCAGCAGAAGGAGGAGGAGGATCAGGGGGAGGAGTAGGAGGAGGAGGAGGAGGAGGAGGAGGAGGAGGAGGAGGAGGAGGAGGAGGAGAGGAGGAGGAGGGAGGAGGAGGGGGGGCAAGAGGAGGAGGGAGGAAGACAAAGGCGACCCCCTGGGAGGCCTGCAGCGCCTGCCCCCCGGCTGAGCGCCGTCGAGCTGGGTGCCTGCGCGCCGCGGGATCGGGCCGCTGGAGCGCTGGGGCTCGCGGCTGGAGGGAGGGAGGGAGGGAGGAGAGGAGCGAGACGAGCGAGGGAGCGAGGGGAGGGAGGGAGAGAGGAGGAGGAAGAGGATGAGGAGGAGGAGCAGGAGAGGAGGAGGAGGAGGAGCAGGAGAGGAGGAGGAGGAGGAGGAGGAGGAGGAGGAGGAGCAGGAGGACTGGAAGAGGAGGAGGAGGAGGAGGAGGAGGAGCAGGACGAGGAGGAGGAGCAGGAGAGGAGGAGGGAGGGAGAGAGGAGGAGGAGCAGGAGACTGGAAAATGAGATGCAGATGGGAGAGCGTTCCAGTGTCAGACGGGATGCGTGTCGGGCGGAATCCAGCGTGTGTCAGACGGGCACGGAAGACATGCTGAAACTGCAGCGGGACCGGGGCCGAGGCTGGGGCCAGGGCTGGAAACTGCCGAGGCTGGGGCCGATGCCGAACAGGAGCCAAGGCCGAATCCATCGCAAGACCCAGGCCAGTCCCGGGACATGGGCCGAGACTGCGGCCTGGGCCGGGACGGGGGCCGGGCTGGACCCGGGAAAAAACCGAGGCCGGACCCGGGAGCTGGGCCAAGACCGGAACTACGGCTGGGACCGGGGCCAGGCCAAAACCGCACCTAGATCCCAGATAAAATCAAATCCAGGACCGACGCCAGAACCAGGCTGGACCCAGACCTGATGCTGGGGCCGCTGGAACCAGCCAAAACGCTGGAACCGGCCAAACGCAAAATTAAAACCAAAGTACCGCTGAAAGCGAAAATTGACAACGAAATAAATCAGAAATGATACCTTAATCTAAGAAGACGGCCAAGCGTGCGCTCCACATCCCCCTAATTAATCTACTTCCCATCCTACTCACCTTTTACTTTATTTTCATTTTCTTCACGCATTCTATCTCGACCAGACACCTCATCCGCAGTGCGACTCTCTTGCTCGCTTGCGTGCCATTGTGACGTACGGCGGGGCACAGAGAGACAGATGGCATGGGTCCTCCAGCTATTCAGCAACGTAGCAGGGCGTATCGAGTGGGTTGGGTGGGCAATCAATCTATGCATTCTCAGCTGCCTTAATGCGCGAATGCAAGGCTCCGGCAATGCACACGTCACTGGTGTGTGCCAGCTATCCCCCGGCGTGCGAATCTTCCCCAGGCTTCGGTCCGACGGCTCATGCTGGGTATCGTCGCTGGGCTATCACTCGGAGCGCTGACGCCTCTCTCTAGAACTTCTAGAAAAGCGGAAGAAGACTGGGAACCAGGATCCCCCGATCACAGGAACGCCTCCAGCAACTGCAGCCCGCGCCATACCGGATGCTCGCGACCAGGCCCTCTTGAATATGGTCAAGCTCCTCCAAGACAACGGGAATGCAGGCCTCCGCCACATGGCGTCACAATCCCATTTGTCAGACACCGAACTTCTTTACCGCCTGGTCGGATGCACGCTCGCAGATGCGCCATCTGGCTGTGTTCCAATGATCCAAGACACGAGTATGCAGGGATTGGCGGGGCATGTGTATTACGATGTGTACTTGATTGGTGGGGTCATGCACACACCAGGTACACTTGATACTTTCACCATGCCAATTTGATTGCCGACGTCGGCACAGCGACCTGCCCACTCCGGTACGCAGGAACAGGGGGGAACGACGGACGGAAATTGGAGAATGTTGCTTGCAGCTCCTACTGGGCGCCGCATCACCGAGTTCTCTTCTAATTCAAACAAGTGTTTCCCTTGCCTTTTCCGCCCCGTATACGTCCTATCCAGCAATTTTGACGGCGGCCTCGGCGGCGGCACCCGCGCTACTGGCAGCGGTTCTGGCGGCAACTCCCACGGCTGCAACCCCGAACAGCTACAACAACGGCGCGTCCGACAGAAACTCCGTGGGCGGCTCCCACGGCAACCTCGACAGTAATTCAGACGTCAACTCCGGCGACGGCTCCCGCAGCAGCCCTGACACCAACCCCGACGGCCAGGATTGCGACGGCGGTTCCCAAAACTACACCGGCAGCCGCTCCGACGACGGCACCGCCGACAGCGGCTCCGACAGCAACTTGCACGGCTGCTCCCGCGACGGTTCCGACGGCAGGGGGTGACAGTGCCTTCAACGGCGGGTCCTGCAATTCCTCCGACAGCAGCTCCGACGGCGACTCCCCCGGCCCCAAAAACAGGTCCGACTGCGGCAACTCCAACAGTTTCAAACATTAAACCCCAGATATCTGCGAGCCGATAACTGGCTTACGGGGTAACGCTCCTGGTGAAACGGATGCGGCTGCCATCCCAAAAACTCACGCAACCACGAATCGAGACTGACACGAACTCGCTTCTCGTGTCGGTCGGTGGCGAACTCAAGGGCACGGGTTCGTTTTCCCATGCGCCAGCGCTGAAAAATCAGCGCCGACTTCTCGGTCGGACTTGCTTGAGCCAACAGCAGCAGCGCAATATTATACAAGGTCGGAATGAAACGGGACACGTGGCCGGGTTCTATCCCCCCAAAGCGCCCTCGAGACGATGCCCGTCGCCAGGCAGAGCGTCTCAGGTTCAAAAGAAAGCCGCTCTCAAAATATGCATTCGCTGCCATTTCAAAAAATATGTCTGAGAAGGTGCCGGGGACCGAAAATGCACTGTAAGACGGCCCTGGACCTATAGACCTAAAGAAATTCCAGTGCGAGACATCCCGGACCTCGAACCGCAAGCCCGTGGGCCCAAAACGGACAACTACAGCAAAATGACCACCGGGCGAACCGTACAGACGCATGCGTTGCTACGGTTCGTCGAAAACTATGTTTCGACCGAAAATGCACCTACGCACCCCAGAGTTGCCAGAAATGTAAAGTGAAATGCCCCGAATGCGAATCTGACGACTACGAAGTCCTAGCTGCCACCAATACGTTTTTACAATACAACTTTCCAGAGTGCCACATGAAGGCAAATTATGAAAGGACGCATTGGGGTAGAGATATCCCTACTGTCCAGCACATGTCTCAGCATCCCCCTAGCCCTCGACCTGTGACGCAGCATCCTTTGCCTCGCAAGTCAAACGAAAGCGGCGGCGCGCAGGGGCAGCACCAGCATCCGGTACCGGTACTCCTCAGTAGCCAGATCCACCCACTCGGACTCGCCGCCCACGTCGTCGCTCCTCACGATCTCGACGCGGCCAGTCGCCGACTGGCTGATCACGTTTATAATTCACCCACGCGGTGCCCTTCATGATCTACAGCTGGACCTCCTCGTCCTTGATCGGGGCGCCCAGCTCGGCCAGCTCGAAAAACCTGAGCCTGTCCACGCGCACTGGCTGGCTGAAGCCCAGCGTCGTGGTGCCCTTATCTGGGTCTGCCAAAATGGTGGACTGCGGGCTCGCCATCTTGTGGGCGCGGTAGATCGTGGGGCGGAACCGCGGCAGCAGCCTCGTCGAGGCGCCGTCGACCGCCCCGATCGCGCGGGCCACCGACGCTGGCGGAGCGCGGAGGCGAACCGTTTCGCCAGTCTGGAACTCCCCCTCGCCCGGCTCCTGCAGCGCGCGCGCTGCTTCTCGTCGCGGGCCGCCTTGATCTCCCTGGCCACCGTGGCATGCGTCAAATCCGAGTGCTCGATGAGGCCGCGCACGTAGTGGCCTGGCCCGAGCGCCCTGCCAGGCTCGAGCCTCCAGAAGACCTCCTCGATCGGGCCCTGCGGGGGCATGCCAGTCACAATCTCGAGCGCAGACCTGTCACAGAGGCAAGGCAACGGCGTCGCACGAAGGCGCAACTGCCCCAAGAGTGCCCAACGCGCAGAGCGCCCAAGGTGCGAGCTGCAAAAACTCGCCAAAATCATGCTGATCTTCCGGTCGCGCGCCTCCACGAAGACCTGCGACTCGGGGTGGTAAGCGCTGCCCAACGAGTGCTTGACCCCGAGCAACTCGTTGATCTGGGCCACGATCTCACTCGTGAAGCCAAGAAGCCAGCAAGATCGAAGCCAGCACTGGCGGGAAGCCAGCAAGATCGAACATCACGTTCTCCACCTGGAACGTAGCCCACGTCGCAGCCGAGTTGTCCGGCGCTGCCCTCAGCCACGCATAGTCCGAGAAGACGCACTCTGCGTGAAGGATGTAGCTACAGCCCTCCGACTCTGGCGAAATAAGCCCAAGGTCGCCGATACCGATAAGCCGGAAAACCTACCGTAGGGCTCAATCCTCGCGTCGGCCGTCAAACCACGCGCCGGCCTAACCATCTGGCACACGGCGCAAGACGATATCCACTTCTGAACGTCGTGCTTCATCCCTGGCCAAACGAACTGCTTAGAAAGCTTGGCCACAGTGCCCTCAGCGGAGCTGTGCATGCCCATGGTCTCGCTATCGCGGTAGTAGTGTAGCAGCTGCCTCCGCAACAGCAGCCTGCACAATCTACGGTTGTACCGAACTGCTCGAAGGCCACCACGGGGAACGACCACCTTCGGGACGAAGCTCAACGACGCCGAGTCCCACTCGTCCTTGTAGAGGCGCCCGTCCCTGCACCTGCATCTGCACATCATGCGAAGTGCCACTGAGGCTCGCATCGCGGCCTAGCGGCCACCAACACCTCGAGAGGCCAAGTTCGCCTTCAAGTCCTTCTACATCTTCTGATTGGCCATGGTGCGGTTCTCGTCCTTGTAGCGGCGTAGGAGTACATGAGCAGCGTAGATGTCAGCGAAGTCCTCGTCCTTCTGCAAAAGCGCAATGACCAGGGCCCGCTGCACTGAAGACGGGCTCGAAAGCATCAACTCGGCAAGGTCGTCGAAAACCTTCGGCGCGAGCGGCGCCGGTGGAAGATCAGTAGCAGCAGCAGCTCCACCCTCGGCAGCATGCCACACGTCGACTACTATGTCGCACCGCTTGTTCAGAGCTCGCTGCAAGTAAGACGTCGTCGTGTCCTCGTCGACGTCGGTCTTCTCGAAGACCTCACCAGTCTTGGCATCCGTGGTCTTCCGCTTCATCATAATCCACTCGCTATCTGGGATGTAGAACAGGCTAGCCTTCTTGATCTCGACTCACCCCTGAGGCCTGTCGGAGTGAACGTCAGGAACCGCAGCAGGTCCACGTGGATCAGTGGAAGGCGAAGTTGCTCGAGCACCTCCACG